AACCCAGGGGTGCTTTACCACTTAGCCACATCCCCAGCCCTTTTTATTTTGAGACAGGGTCTCACTAAGTTGCTGAGACTGGTTTCAAACCTGTGATCCTCCTGCCTCAATCTCCCAAGTTTCTGGGATTATAGGCATGCATCACCTTGCCAAGAAAAATCTTGTCTCTTTGAGGAAGTTTCATGTGGCTAGAAATGTGACTAGACAGAGAGGCAGGGTCTGGATCTTGGGACTTGTTTTGGGTTGAGTGTTATTTCATAAGTAATGGAGTGTCATCGAAGGTTTTAAACTGGAAAATTAGTCCAGGATAAGTATTTAATTTTAAATGTTCCATCTAGGCCTTATTGTTATGTGACCAAAACAAGAAGCAGACAATGGGAGACCAGGTAGGAAATCTGCAATAATTCAGTCCAGCTATGATAATGGCTTAAATGATAGAGGTAAACCTAGAAATGGAGAGAAAGGAAGTGATTCAAGAGACTGTTAAACCACAGACTTGCCTAGACTTGTCATCTCATGGAGGAGAGGAGAAAGGGAGAGAAGACTCCATAGTGCATCCAGCTTTTTTGCTTGGCCAAACCAGGTGAATACTGCTGCTAAGATGGGGACCAGACAGTAGGTAATGGGTTTGGGGAGAAGGTAATGGCTTAATACTTCACAGATAGAGCCTGAGGAGATAAGAACATTCTGAAAGTATCCACTGGGGAGCTTGATCTACCAGCTGGAGTTCAGGGACAGATTAAGGCTGAGATAGTCACCCTCAGCAGCTTCAAAAAACAGCAAGAGGCAGAGTAGATCTAAAGCTTGAAGATGATAAAATTCTGGAAACATTTGGGAGCAAACTGCCCTAGGTGCTGTTCAAGAGCTCCTGAAGTATTTCCTGTCAGACAGCTCATCTTAGGGCAATACGGTAAGTCCATTCTTCAAAGAGGCCCCCCTGTCTCTGTGTGTGTGTGTGTGTGTGTATGTGTGGGTGTGTGTGTGTATCCCCTGTCCCCTGCGGTGCTAGAGATCAAACCCAGGGCTCTACCACTGAGTTACATCCCTGTCATGATGACATTTTAAAGGGTAAATCATTATATTACTCTTTGCTTAAAAGCCACTGGTAGATTCTCAGACTCATATTCAAACTATTTGGCACAGACCCATAAAGCTTTACTTGTAACTAGGCCCTGTCTACCTTTCTGACTACGTCTCCTATCACAGGACCCCTAGTTAACACAGCAATCCAGACAGTCTGCTTGTCCCTCAGGACCTTTGCACTTGCTTTTCCATGTCTGAAATGCTCTTTTCTGGGTCTTGCTGGCTGGCATCCCTCTCATCATTCAAACATCTCTGCTGAAATGTTCTACCATTCCCTATTCTCAAGTCCATATACTCTTTACTATTGACTTTATAGCACTGACCATTATCTGAATGCATCTTGTTTATTTACTGTCTCTTGTACTGGAAATGGTGATGTGCAAAGGTAAATTTCCACATTAATTATTCCTTCTGGAAAACTGGAATGGAACTGCATAGCTGAAGGCAATGAATTCCCATTGGCAAGTTTAATTTGCTAGTTTCTTAAGAGCCACAAAAGTTTTAAATGGGGCAGCTACTTTGTCAAATGTTTAAAAATATTTGAGTAAAATGTTATAAAATGTAACAATTCCATGATTCTGACCCTGTACTCATTTACCAAGACACTATTTCATTTAACTGGCTTAACTACTGGACACAAAGTTGCTAGATAAATGAGCAGAATAACAAAATATAAAAATGACTGACATAATTATCTGAAATAAATCTTATGTTTTAACTAGTTTTGTAATAGACCTGTACAATCTACTTTTAATCTCCCCTTTTTCAGTGAAGGGCATTGTAGGTCAGATGTCACAGAATTTTAAAATTAGGACCAAACTCTACCAAGGCCCAGGTCTTCTACATTCAGCAGCAATGCAGTTCTGCCCATAACTTTCAAACTGGTGTAACCAGACTTGGGCTAATGGTAGTGCCCTAGGGATGGGTAATGTTGAGCTCTTTTAATTGACTTGGGAACACTTTCAATTTATCCCCATACAGAATACCTACTATATGCCAGCTACCACATTGAGCTCTTGGGACACAAAAATGAGTAAGGCACATTTCTCCCTTCTAAGGCTAAAATGTAATAGTTTAGCTCTGAGTGTGTGGTACAGTTAAGTGAATTGCATAATTCTGTACAAAGATCAGATATTATTTTCCGAAATGTCTCCAACTGGTCTCATAAGTATTTGCCAGTTTTTGAAATGCTTATGCGTGTGCTTTCTTACTCTTCTCTGCTTTTTCAGTGACAAAGCCAATATTACTTCCCATTTCTTGCCTAGTAAGATGGGTTACTCACATTTAAAAACACCATGTTCTTCAAATAACTTTTTTTTCCCAGCACAGGATATGTATAAATATAAAGTTTATTTAGCATAGTGTTTAGAAAAATAAGTTCACATCATTTCAGAAAACAAATAAAACACTTAATTGTCCAGGCATAAACCCCCATTACAGTACAACATACATACTTTAGATCTCTTTGGTTGGGTAATTAAGCACAGAAATGTTCTGGGACATGCTCTGTGTGCCATCACCTAACAGTGCAGTAAAGACTCTGTTCCCCCACCCCATGATATACATTCTGTATAGAGTTTCTTTGTGTAAGGCACAGTAAAACCATTTTGAGTACATAACTGATTGCCTCTGAACATATAGAACATGCAACAAAAGAATAAAAAATTTTGAGAACCCTGAAAGCCAAAAGAATCACATGCTATATAATTTTGACTAATAAAATGTATGGTGGTAATATTTAATTAACTTGAAATGTATCAGTTAGATACAAAATAACTGTTAGACCCTATCATCTAAGTAGTAGGATGACTTTGAAACATCTTTTGTAAAATATATTTCTTTTCCCTACAGTTTTCCTGAATTATTTTTATATGAGATGATCTGTTAACACATTTTAAAGAATGTTAAGTACTGGTGGCTATGTAAGAAAGCACACTCTCTAGGATGTAGCAGGGCAGGTTGCTGCTACACATGCCCAATTATCCAACTTTTAACATGCAAGATACAAGGGCACATACAGGGAGATTTAAGGTCAGTGTGCAATTTAACTATTTTTTTCTTTTTTAAATCTATGGCTAAAACATCTACCTGCCTTTCACAACATAAGAAAGGCATTAGAGTGTGTGTTTAATTCAGAGTCTTTACTATAATTATACATGAGATATAATGCAGTATAACCCAGGTGCTCTTGCTTAAGAAACAAATACACCTTCTATTTAAACAACAGACTGTCCTTTACTAGATATGACTAAGAGCAAAATGCCAAATTCTGGCTGATAGAGTGCATAGATAGGCTCACACCAAAAATCCCAAAAGCCAACAGCAGGGGTTGGGATCTGAAGGGTTATTTGCCCCATTCCAATTCTTCTTCGGGGCCACTAGAGGGTCATCTGTAGCATCTTCAAGCATTGGTTTATGTAAGGATATTTTGCCACATGAACTCCAAGGGTTCTGAGTCTGGCCCTTGATATTGCAAAAAATAATAAAAAAAATTTGCAATTCTGTGCAAGGAGATCATGGGGTTTATCTTATTCCATTCACATATACATGGGCTACATGCCAACTGGCCCTTACTTTACTGAAAGAATAGAAAAGAACAATAAGTTCTTTACAATGTGCATTGATTCTTAACCTGGTATATTGTGTAGCTACCTAGAATAATTGTAGGGTTATTATTATATCATGTTGAAAATATAAAGGGGTTTCCTAGGTAAGTCTTAAGTTTTGTGCTATCTTTTTCATAAGGGGAGAAGAACTCTAAATAAAAGGCTTATATTTTTGGAAGACATATAAAATTTTTCCAGTTACATATGTGCCATATATAACTTTTAAAACCTGCTTACTGGATGAGTAGTTTTAAATAATTAACAAACTCTTGATAGTTGCAGTAATCAAATGGAAAACATCATTTTTATGTACACTACAGTACAGAGCCATGTAATTAATCTTGATAACATAGAACCAAAGAAAAAGAAAGCTGTATAAGTAGTGGTAGAATGGAAGAGAGCTCTAAAACACCTGACTTTGTAAAAACCAAGGCAAAAAACATAGTTTCAGCAGCTTAGGAATAGTCACCAATTTCATAAAAAAAAAAAAAAAGAAAGATGTAGTAAGTTCTTTATCAAAATGAAGGGAGAATTCTACATAGGTGTTTTCATCTATGCCTGTGATTTACATTTGTAACAATAGCAAAAGTTAAGTACTCTATGGCCCTTATTCAATATGCTCTGCTGATGGGCATGCAGAGCTCTATAGAGGACGCTTTGTCCACATCTTAAAGTAAACAAGATGTAACATTTTTATGTTTAACAACTTTAAGTCCTCACTGAAGAGACCATTTTTCACTTTTCTGGCTTTTTAGAGGCCAGAGGTAACTTTATTCACTATATAAATGAATTGCATTATTACATCTTGCATTCAGAGTCCTGATAAACATAAACGTTATCAAGAAAACTTAAAGAAACCCCCAAAATTTACTTTTACAAAAGACTTGTTAATATAGTGCAAACAGTCATGTGTTATAGTGTAATAACTGATTCAAAACACTAAGAATGAAGTTTCAATGGGATAGAATTTTGCTCAATAGGAAAAAAAATACATATTTTTTTCTTTAAAATTTTTGTTTTCCTGGCTGCATAATTGATTTTACATGGTCTTCTACAATTTATTTTCACTGTAATAAAAATCATCAATAATAATTGATCCATTTGCATGATAATCATAACACATATTATTTAGTGAAACTTAAGTTCTCCAGACTTAAAGCAATTGGGATGAAATTGACCCTGTTAGATAGTAGAAAAGAATCATCAGTGCTTTTGTTGACACTTCTGTACCTCACTACTAATAAAAGGCCACAAGGTAAAAAGGCACATAGAATTCTATATAAAACATATTTAAATGAATTGTGTTGCTAAATAAAGAACAAAGGTATGAAAAAAAGTACCAAAATTCCAATATTGGGAGTTAGAGTTCCTGTTTCAGTGTTATTAATATTGACCTTAATAGACTCCTGATAAAAATCATTGTTTTTAAAATTCTACAAAAAAGTAAAACTTTGTTGGAAACAATGATGTTCGCTTCCTGTTCAAACAATAAAAATAAATTAAACAGTAAGAAAACATTTTTCTTTTCAGTTTATAACGCCTGAAGTATAAGAGAAACATACACAGTATAAATAAAATTCACCGTACTTACTCAAATCCTACTTACAGAACTGATATATTTACATTCATACTGAAGTGTTTCAGAGTTTTTGTGGAGGTTCAAACTTCCTCAGCCACAATGAACTGTTAGCAATAATATTTGGAAATGTGTAGAGACTTAACCAAGACTTCCTCAAAAACGCTGAAAGAGAAATGTGTGTACGCATATACATATATATATAATGTTTTAAGCTATTTAACCTTAAAAAAAAAAACACTCTTAAAATAGTTTGCAGTACCATTTGTTTCTTAACCTTATCAATGCCCATGGAGTAAAAGTAAACAAAAACAATTGCATTGTTTCTAACAGTCTTTAGCTATACTTAATTCTGTTAGGTGTATGCATTTTTAATTTAAAAAACTATAAAGTTCTATTTTGACCTTAGAATGATATTGCCAACTAAATGATATACTCTGACTTGATACGTTTCATCTTGTTCCTTTGTCTCCATCTATTTAAAAGAGAACATTATGTGTGAACAAAAAAGCTGCAGCAATGCAGTTCTACGATTGTATTTTTAACTGATCTTCATGCAGATCAATCCAAAGTTTCTTGAATGCATTTACTTGCAAAAGTAGATATTTTCCTTTCAATGGGAAAATGTTTTGATTTGGGGCTTCATGAAAAGATTTGCTGCTGATGCCACAAAAAGGGTTTGGGGATAAAGTTTATAAATCTTGCATATCTTCATCCAACTGGACAGTTTGGAGCTTGGCAAGCTCTTTTTTGTCTGTTTCCAGGTCTTCACAGACAGTTTCAACCATGCTATCTAGGACATACTTGGATTTGGAGTCCAGCATCATTAAGCTGCTTGTTGCTTTACTCTCAGAATTTTGTAAGAAATTCTCTTTTATGTTAGCTACTGATTGCAGAACCAAACGATGTTCTCTGACAAAATCCTGGTGTACTGCTGGGGAGGCATGACCCACCTGGTCTTCAGCAGCAGGAACTATTTCTCCAAGGGCAGCCTGAGTCATAGGGACTGACAATAGGTCTTGGCCAGTAATAAGGGAGCAGTTCTGAAGAGTTGCATAGTTAGTGTTGCTGACAGATGTCACAGTAGATTTGTTTGCCACAGGTGCAGACATTGGCTGGCTATCAGCAATGTCAGGGTTTAGCTCGGTGGGATTTAGTAGTGTAGGGGGAGTCAGGGAAAAATTGTGAGCTGGGGATACATTAACTAATGAGGAGGCCAGTGAATGGAGGCCACTCCCCGAGATATTTTCAGAAGACAGGTTTGCATTTACTTGTGCATTCTGATTGACAGGCATCAACTGACTGAATACCAGGCTCCTTTCCAAATTTTCCTGTTTCACAGATCCTACAGTCTGGCCTGAATTAGGAACAGTGTATACCACTGCACTGGGAGCAATAGAGCTCAAGAAAACCTTTCCTTGCTGGACTGTGGCAGACTCACTTGTAAATGTGCCCCCATCCGAAGTGCTTGAGTTTACTGAAATATTACCTAGGAAAAAATAAAGTAATGATTAGCATTGATGGAAGTGATAGAGAAAGAGAAAAAAATCACTTCTTTACCCATGTGATTTTTTTCTTCAGGAATAGTTGTCTAGCAAAGTGAAACTTCTATGTAATAATGCAGCCCAATCATGGTTCAGAATCACCTTCATTCAGCACTTGAAACTATAGCTTTATGCTAAGTTAAAAAAACTATATATCTATGTATATATGTCAAAATATTATATATATATATCAAGTTGGTTCATTATTATCAACTGATATCTGTTAATTAGTTGATGATTATTGCTAGCACCGTCAGTACAACTAGAAAACATAAATGCAAAATAAAATGCCTTTGCTTTGGACTGCTCAATGACTGACATAAAATGGAAATGTAGAAAATACCACATAAAATGAGTTTCCCTGAGGCTTACAAGTTAACCACATAAACCTGTACAGACAAGTTGCAGACTTTCACCAAACTAGCCATAAAGTAATGTGAAGTCAACAAAACACTCAAAAGGATTTTTTCTTCTGTTGTTGGGCCAGCTCTCAATTTTCAGTTTTGTAGTGATAGGAAAAATTAATGATTACACTGAAATCTGCTTTTAAAAATACATATTAACATAAAGGATCAGAACTAATGTGTCTCTAAAAGGTTTGTATCTTTTGAGACTGTCACTATAATGGTCTGTAAAGAAAAAGAAATGTAAGTGGAAAAGTCAGAAG